AAAAAAAAAAAAAAACCTTTCATTAAAACTTATTTTGAGTTTTCTTTTTAAAAGCTTTTTTGTAGAAAGATTTGTTATCTGAATTGCAAATGTTTTAAAAATTTAAAAACTGAAAGTCTCTACTCCCACTCTCTTCCCTAGAGAGGTAAATTGTTAGCAACCATTATATAATCTTTTCGTATGTGTATAAACATACTTCAGAATTAATACAAATAATATTCAGGCATATTTTTATTTTTAAAATTACAGAACATTGAAAAGTTATAGCAAGTTCATAACTATGTTTTTTTTTTTAAACCAGAAGAATATGTATGTACAGTCTTTGGCAATAATAATCCCTCTGCACCCCTCCCCCCAAATTTATATGCTTTTACCTAGTAAATTCATTTTTAAAAATAATCAGGGCTACAGAAATAGTGACTTGTGCAGAGATATGGATAAGTATGGTTATTGTGACTTTTTTGGTGGTAATGGAAAAATGGAAACAACCTAAATGTCTCACTAATTAACAGATGGTTAAGTTATGATATATTGGAGCATAATGGAACACCGACCTGCTGTATATATATATATATATATATATATATATATATATATATATACACTAACATAGGAGGGATTTGTTATATTAATTGAATATATACTGAAGAAACTACAGTATGGCTCCCCCACCCCACCCATTTTAGGGGGCAGATATGTGTGTCTTTGTACAGTCATGTACTGCTTAATGATGTTTTGGTTAGCAACAGACCCAAGATACGATGATAGTTATTTTTCAGCTCCATTTTAATCTCATAGAACTATCACCTAGAGAAGTTGTAGTTGTCATAATGTGTTAGTACAATTACTTTTTAAAGATAAATTTAGTGCAGCCTAGTTGTACAGTGTTTATAAAGTCTATAGCAGTATACAGTAATGTCCTAGGCCTTTACATTCACTTACCACTCACTCACTGACACACCCAGAGCAACTTCTGGTCCTGTAAGCACCATTCATGGTAAGCGTCCTATACAAGTGTACCATTTTGATCTTTTATATAATTTTTACTGTATCTTTTCTATGTTTATGTATGTTTAGATACACAAATAGGGAGCACTGTTTTACAGTTGCCTACAGTATTCAGTACAGTAACATACTGTGCAGGTTTGTAGCCTAGGAACAACAGGCTATACCATATAGTCTAGGTCTGTAGTAGACTGTCCCATCTAGGTTTGTATAAGTACCTCTATGATGTTTGCACAACAACTAAATCTATTGATGACGCCTTTCTTGGAACGTGTCTCCATCGTTAAGCGAAGCATGACTGTATGTGCATAGAGAAGTGTCTGGATAGACTTATAAAATAGTTAACAGTTGCTATTACTTACATG